TAATAATAATAATAATAATAATAATAATAATAAATTGATCGTAAAACAAATAACCCTAGAATTCATTTTGTGCCTATTTAAGTTTTGTTTCACTACAATCATAATACTGAAACAACAACAGTCAAACCTCAGGACAGCCTAGATAATGGACTAAAAAAGGTGTATTGCCTTGCTCAAAAGATAATGGCCGAGCTACCAGCTATGTGCCTCTGTATCATTATTTTTTATTTTTATTTTTGATCTACTACGCTCACTGGTTAACTCTTGGTGAAAGCCTCAGTAAAAGTTCAATGTTTAGAAAAAGAGTAACTTCTGATATTCAACCGGTGATACATACAAGTATAATATTAAAGCGCTCCTAATTGCTCACTTTGGGGAAAAAAATGAGAAATTTTGTGCTGAAAAATTAAATAAATTCAAAAAAAATTCCTAAGTCATATGAGCAAAAGTACAATAACAAAGGAAAGTAGTGGAAAGTAAAAATTGAGCAAAACTTTTTACTATTTTATTATTAATTACATCTGTCAAATAGTATTTACATTGAGGTTTCATACATGATTGAAGGACCCGTAGAATTTCTTCTTGGAGATACTTGGTTTTGAGGAGCAATGAGATCTACAAGGGAACGGCTTGGAAGGACTGTTGGACGAACACCGTGAGGGGGAATCGGAGGCGCTGGCCTCAAAGGGCGTGTTCTCGTATAGTTAGTTTGATATAGAGGGGTTCTCACGGGTTCTACTAAGGGATGTGGACTGAATGTAGTAACATTTGTTTGCCTGGAAGTTGGAAAGAGAAGTGGCTGTGCGACTACTGTATCTTCAGACTGGGTAGAACGAGCGCTACTAGAATGTTGAGAGTTCTCTGTTAATGTAGAGTCTGCTTCTGTACTGCTCAGCGTACTTTCTGTCGGACAAGTTGAGCAAGTTGCACTACTACTAATTGAAGTGTCAGTGCCCCGATGAGTGGCACTCTCTCTCATCCTTACTTCTCTTTGACGCTGATCAGAACCACCTGAGAATGTCGACTGTGTATCTGACAGGATATCGTGCCGGTAGGGATAAGAAGTTCTTAATGAAAATATCTAATTATTAGACGTTAAAATCCGATCATAATAAGTGCCTTAATAAACGAGTATCATACAAGAAAGAAGCTAAAGATAGTACTAAAATTAAAGTGCTAATTTTTACCTTATTCCGATTGCAGAAGTTCGTGATAGCAACGGCCCAGTATCTGAGGCTGAAGTAGTCTCCGTATATGTACCGTTAGTGGTTGAATACGTTCGTCTATCGTTACCGTGGTCGACAGTTGATACGGTTGTTTCACTTAGTTTAGAACAACTAGTTCTTAAAGTTTCAGCTGGTGACCAAGCATCCTTCTCTCCAAGAATCATATTGCGATGGGCATTTGCTATAGGATCATCGTCTGTTTGGTGACCTTGCATTAAGCTTGTAGTCTTGAAAATACAAATATGAAAGCACTGAAGAATAGACAAACATTCAAATGTGCAACCAAATAATATCGGTTTTCAAAAACTCGATGTTCCCCGATAACCGTAAAAACTGCTTACATTAGGTTTGTCCCAATATTCTTTATAGCGTCTTTCGCGCTCCATTTTGTCTAATCTGAGCGATGAACGAATTAATTCTTTCCTATTCGACTCCTCTTCTTTTCTTTTTCGAGACTTTCTGAACCAACAGAGTGCAAGTAAAACAATTACCACAGCAAGAACGAATAATGTTATGGCAGCAATAATAATGCCAGACCGCCATAACGCTGGCTCTCTGTAGGGTGTTACTCCTGGAATGGGAATTTGTTTTAGTATTAACCGAACTATTATGTAAGTTTAATACGCTAAAAAACCTCTTTTAAACAACTTTCTTTTGTACCTCGTTCACACACGAATGGCAAAAGAGCATGACAATTTTGAAACCCAATATGCTTTGATTTGCTACTTAACCATCCACAGTGAGTTGGCGGAATGTTAGCTCCAGATATCCAAAATTGCTTCTCTACTCTGTTCTAAACAATAATAAACTTTTTGTATTTAATCAGCCGGTTCATTGCTCAAAACCAATACTTACCAAAAAACTTGAGTATTTTTCATCGTCTTCAACTCGAGCAGAGACAATGCTGCTGACTCGATCAGCCAGAGGCCCTTGTCTTTCATCGTCTACCCTTAGATAAGGAATAATTGCACCCATTTCCTGAATTAAACTTTTTAAAATTAATTGATAATTGATCCTCTTCATCTTTAGCTCTTAAAAAAATAGAGCAACGAATTCATCAACACAAGAGTTACCTGACAGTATCTAACAGCTGATTTATAGGTACTGGCCGCGCCAACATATATAAAGCAAGATTTAAACTCATCAACACCAATTTGGAACCAACCAGCCGGACAGTCTCCTGAAACAGTATTCACAATTTAACATTAAAGAGACGCCAAAAACGTTCTTGAAAAAATATAAAAGCCGTTTTGTTATTACCTTCAATGAGTGAGGTATTTGACTCCAAAACAGGTTGATAGTCAACTCGTATCAGATTTCTGTAGTCATTTTCATCGCGAATTTTGGCCGCAGCCACACCTATTGTTCCAGGATAGCCCCAATAATTTTCGCGCGCATCAATGCTGACAATGTCATAGCTGAAAAAATACAGGTTTAGTGATATAGGTGAACAACTTTGAGCACTACTGAGTTATAAAGTAAACATACCAGGGAAGAGTATAAATAAAAACTTATATTTACCTAGTGACGGGACCTGAGGTTAGCTCATAATCGTTCAGTGGATTATTGAACACATTCTGCCGATAACTTTGACGGGAAACTTCAGTAAAAACAGTACTCCTATACCGCTCCGTTTCCATTCCAACGTGAGTCCACCAGTCAAAACTGACGTCGTTTTGATCAAGAACTTGACGCTTCCTTCTGCTGCTAACCAGAATATGCCTAGGTCTACGGTCAAAGTCATCAGCCTGATTTTCAGGCAAATAGCCGTATCTTTCCTAAATTGTTAAAACCCATGCCATGCATAAATGAACCAATGTAAATAAGTCAAAAGAAAATTTGAGAAGTAACTAGGCTACCTTCATTTATGCCTAAAAGTACTTGTGATACTCACCATATATTGATGCCCATGTCCTAATGCCAAATTGTCCTGGAACCAGTTGTTTTGAAAACTCTGAGTAGTGGAGGAAAGATCTGGGCAGCGAGTGGTGTGAACTGTATGAAGTCCAGTGTTGTTGGAAAAAACATTTCTTGTAAAGTTTGTCGTCATACAATTGATCAATAACGTGTCATAGTAAAGAGCATAATTGCGTGATAAAATGTTGTTGTGAAAAGTAACTTTCTGAAAATCATTTACGTTTACTAAGCTTAATTTTTACGTTTAAGTCAAAAAATTAAAGCTTGAAATGAATAATTTCAGTAAATAGTTTTTACATTTGCTACTTGAACAAAGTTTGGTGCTCTAGAATGTTATCGAACTTTAGTTACACAAATGCTGCACCCAAGTATTAACTGAGCACCTGATAGCCATTTCCAACTAGAGCTACCACTGTTCCATTTGAATTTGAGATAAATGTCGAGTCTCTAATTACAGCTGACAATCGAGCTACTGCTGACGAAGTGTCGCTTGTTAAAAGTAAACCACCTTGATTATGCGAAATTCGTGTTCCTCGTATATATGCATACTATAAGAAGAAAAAAATATAACGGGTATTGAGATTTGACCGCACAATGCTATTCAACGTCACATTTAAATACGGAATATTTTCAAAATGTGCGAAAAAATGTGCCAAAAAAAAAGAAATGAAAGCGCACTAAAGAATTGTAAAGATGGAGTTTTACAGCAAACACTGTGGTACTGATATTTCCATAAATGTTGTAACCATTGTGCTGTATGCTACAATCACTGATTACAACTTCTGGGCCAATCTCACCAGTATTTCTAAAGACCAAAGCGCCGCGATCATTGTTCTCCAATCGACTTTGCCTTATTAGCACCTCATTTATAGGTTCTAGAAAACATTGAAGTATTTTCTCAATGCTAAATATTTGAAAATAACGTTGAGTAAAATAGTTTTGAAAAAAAAAGCTCAGTTTTTGCTGATTAAAAATCAAATAATTTTCCTTTTATGAGGAAAAATTTAAGAGGTTATAAATATTACAAACTGCTTCGAAAGATTTTTTCCGTACTTCCACTCCAAAGTGTTATTCTAATGCTACTCCTGAATCATAGATTACTGTAATACCTGTTTGAGCAGATGTCGACGTTGCAGCCACTTCAGCAACAAAACCATAAATTCCATCAGCTGCACTAGCCCTTAGATGTAAAGCCATTTCAGATTCGGATCGTATTGTTAATGAGAAATTTCCCGATTTCGTTGAAAAGTGAGCTAGCCGTTTGTAGAAGGACTTTGATGAATATATTGAAAGACCGTCAGGGCGACCTAATTCGACTTGAGACCCATCGTAAAAATTTACCTGAAATAACATTTTATACGTCGTGGTAAGTATACTGGCTTTTCAGCTTCTTGGTTTCTATTAAATGTGTAAATTTGAAGTTAACAAGCGTATCTTCCCTTCTCTACTGGCTCTTGAAAACCATAAACGTTTGAACTTTTTCAAAGAATCTTTGCACAAAAAAACTCTTAAACTCAACAGATATTTCGACATATTTAAGTCCTACTAAGGCAAAATGTTGAAAACTAACAAACCATTAAAAACCGAAAAGCGACAGTTGGTGCAGTCGTAGTGAAAAATTTAATGCAGTCAACATGATATGAGTCATATTTGTAAAATACGATTACACGTTCATTAATCTTATAGTTTTTTTCAGCAGCACATATATCCAGCATACCACGAACATTGTACGGAAGATTTATTGGTCCTTGTGATGCACCTGTGAAAAATTATAATTTTTTATGTCATCTAATGTCATCAAGGTGCATAAAAAAGAAGCCTTTTCTTGATAATGATAGTTTTTCTAGATATAGAGGAAAGTGAAAAAGCAGTTAAGCATGAGTTTTTTTGAAGTTGAACATCTAAAATAGTTGTACTAGTTCATCCATCAGCTGAATGACATTTTATAACAGAACTGAGAATAAGACCTTTCCCTGTAGCTGCTCCTTGAAGATTAGAAACCCATATAGAAATTCCAAGCCCAAGATTTTGTGTCACATTCAAACGATTGAGAGTAACTTTGTCTCGAGGAACAATGATCTACAAAAAAAGAAAGGGAATTACTCGTTCTGATTATTTTTAAAAATAGTATGAAAAGATAAAAAAACTGGCAGTATTACCAACCTGTAAAGCATTCATTGATGAATTAGTGATATTTACGGCATCAACCAACGGCGATCGCTGAACAAATAGTAACGCTGCCACATCTATGGTATTGTTGTGGGAAATACCTCCACCAACAATTTCCGTATGCCGCAGTATTGAGTTTTCTAGAAATCCAAAGTACAAGACCGAGAAAAAAAACAAAGTTTAAGAAACAGAAGAAAATACCTTGAACAGGGGTTTGCTGGTATTCCATAGATCCATGAGCAAACACAATACCACCCCAGTTACCGATGTAATTACTGTAATAATGTTTATAATTAACCCTAACGCAACCCTGTTAGACTTACAGCTAAGTTTTATTGAAAAGATCCTCTCCCCTTTTTT